CACCGACTCTAGGGTTAACTATGTTGGGAGTGATAACAAGAGCAAATTTTCATTATGTCGAAAGTAACATTCGTACCGATCCGAGGAATATAAAGTTTTGGTTTGATGACCGAAAAGTTATTCCCGAAGGGCAAATCACTACACGCTAACTTTAAAGTACCCTTTAAATGAGTATCTTGTACTCATTTTTTGAAAAACGCAAAAAAATTGGTATTTTCAAAAAACGAAAAGCGGGTACTTTTTCACCATTTTTCAAAATATCTTCTGCAAATAAAATGGATAAAAATATGTATTAAATTAATGTCAAGACATCTTTGGTGAAGTGGAAGACTTGGTGGTGGAAGTGCCGAGTGATTAATAATTTTTAACATCGATTACGTGACGGTGGTACGATGGAGTTAGCAGTTTTGATTCGGCCGGTGTTGATTGAGGTGAATAAGTTTATTTTAAAACAATCCTGCAACGGGGAGTTTCATTTGGTCGTATGAATAAAAGCGTTTACTTTACTTTTCCCGTAAGAAAAGCACGGTAAAGTAAAGTAAACACGAAAAGTAAAGTAAACTCTTTTTATTCATACGGCCCATTGTTTCCTTCACTTTCAGGGAAGAGAAGAGTCCAATCTGAATCAACAGTACAGGTAGGTACAGGTTAGCAAAGTTCTTCAAAGAGGAAGGCGAAATTTTCATGCGAAAAGGTCCGAACTTGTTCGATGAGCAGCAACCCTCGTGGACCGATCCCAGGTTGATACTATTGATTATTTTTTTTAACTAGTTCGTTTATTTGGAAGGCTCAATCACGGCCTACTCGAGGTCAGAGAGGTACATTGTCGAAGGATAGGATCAGGAGAGGAGCTTGGGGTAAGGTTTCATTGTCTCATCAGAGCGTTGTCGCCAGTATGAATGGTAGTGCGGTTCTAGTTTCGTCTGGAGTTCGACTGGCTATGGTGACCAGTGGGCGACGATGAGACTCATCGAGACGGGGGACAAGACAAACAAAAACTATTAAAGAGAGACAAAAGACAAAGGAATTAAATTCTTATACTAGACATTTGAAGAAACACATAAACCGACTGCATGTAGCAGATATCGCGAGTTCCCAACACGTCTCTGATAGGAACATAGGGTTGTCTTCCTTGGGCCTCAAGGGTATTCAAAAGTCGCTCTCTGGCGGCGTAATTATCCGTACATTGCCAAACTGCGTGATCGATGTCATCGTAGCCGTTTCCACACCGACAGATGTTGCTGTCCACGAGGTTTATTCTATTGAGATGAGCATCTAGCGAGTAGTGGTTGGACATAAGTCTACTCATCACGCGAATGAAGTCCCGACTTAAGTCCAAGCCTTTAAACCATGCTCTCGAAGAAACATTAGGACTAAATTGAATGTAACCACCGTCCAAGATTTCCATTGTCCCAATCGGTTTGCCAACTCGAAAGGGTACTCTGACGCACTAAATGGTAAAATTCATCGTGTGAAATTTGCCTGTCATAAAATTCGCCTTCCTGCGCGCCCACCTTTGCGAGAGAGTCCGCCTTCTCAGGTTCTGCAGCGTGACGTCACGAATGAACTCAGTGTTAATCGGCTGAACCTTTTTGACAGTTCAGTGGTACTGTTTACAAACACTTAGTCGTTTTTTCGAAAAAAAAAAATCTAAAATTTCCGAAATTTAACTTGAAAATTGACGAGGAACAGCGCGTTGAAAGGATGTTGCTCTTGGACATTGCAGAAGTGTGGTTTACATCTCACTGCAGTCTGAAAAATTATCGAGAAAATCCACCCAAGAAAAAATCGACTAAGTCCACGTAAACAGTACCACTGAACTGTCATCAGATTGAGGTTAACCCCGACGGTGCAAAACCTAAAATGATGACAGTTCAGTGGTACTGTTTACGTGGACTTAGTCGATTTTTTCTTGGGTGGATTTTCTCGATAATTTTTCAGACTGCAGTGAGATGTAAACCACACTTCTGCAATGTCCAAGAGCAACATCCTTTCAACGCGCTGTTCCTCGACAATTTTCAATTTTTTCAATTAGGTTTTGCACCGTCGGGGTTAACCTCAATCTGATGACAGTTCAGTGGTACTGTTTACGTGGACTTAGTCGATTTTTTCTTGAGTGGATTTTCTCGATAATTTTTCGGACTGCAGTGAGATGTAAACCACACTTCTGCAATGTCCATGAGCAACATCATTTCTACGCGCTGTTCCTCGACAATTTTCAAGTTGAAATTCGGAAATTTAAGAATATTTTTTTTCGAAAAAACGACTAAGTGCTTGTAAACAGTACCACTGAACTGTCAAAAAGGTTCAGCCGGCTAACACTGAGTTCATTTGTGACGTCACGCTGCAGAACCTAATTAGGTTTTGCACCGTCGGGGTTAACCTCAATCTGATGACAGTTCAGTGGTACTGTTTACGTGGACTTAGTCGCTTTTTTCTTGGGTGGATTTTCTCGATAATTTTTCAGACTGCAGTGAGATGTAAACAGCATTTCTGCAATGTTCACGAGCAACATCCTTGCAACGCGCTGTTCCTCGAAAATTTTCAAGTTAAAATTCAGAAATTTTAGAAATTTTTTTTTCGAAAAAACGACTAAGTGCTTGTAAGCAGTACCACTGAACTGTCAAAAAGGTTCAGCCGATTAACACTGAGTTCATTCGTGACGTCACGCTGCAGAACCTAATTAGGTTCTGCAGCGTGACGTCACAAATGAACTCAGTGTTAAACGGCTGAACCTTTTTGACAGTTCAGTGGTACTGTTTACAAGCACTTAGTCGTTTTTTCGAAAAAAAATTTCTAAAGTTTCTGAATTTTAACTTGAAAATTGTCGAGGAACAGCGTGTTGCAGGAATGTTGCTCGTGAACATTGCAGAAATGCTGTGTACATCTCACTGCAGTCTGAAAAATTATCGAGAAAATCCACCCAAGAAAAAATCGACTAAGTCCACGTAAACAGTACCACCATAGAGGTAACTCTAAGACTAGTAGGTCCCGAAGAAAATCATTATTATTTTTGGCTCACTCAGTACCAGAACAACGGTCCCAAGCAGTCCCAAGCTATTTCACTCACCCCTGCATGTTCTGCATGAATCCACACACCCCTGATGTTATCTGTCAAACTTTCATAGCGAATCAAAACAAACATAGTGTAGTAATAGAATTTCAACTAGAATAGGGTACGTTAATCGTTTGCTTGGGACCAATAGGCTACTAAAGTGGTGAGCCAATTTAAAATCGTTAGTTTCGTATTGATTGTTGGTACCACTGAACTGTCATCAGATTGAGGTTAACCCCGACGGTGCAAAACCTAATTAGGTTCTGCAGCGTGACGTCACGAATGAACTCAGTGTTAATCGGCTGAACCTTTTTGACAGTTCAGTGGTACTGTTTACAAGCACTTAGTCGTTTTTTCGAAAAAAAAAATTCTAAAATTTCCGAATTTTAACTTGAAAATTGTCGAGGAACAGCGCATTGCAAGGATGTTGCTCGTGAACATTGCAGAAATGTGGTTTACATCTCACTGCAGTCTGAAAAATTATCGAGAAAATCCACCCAAGAAAAAATCGGCTAAGTCCACGTAAACAGTACCACTAAACTGTCATCAGATTGAGGTTAACCCCGACGGTGCAAAACCTAATTAGGTTCTGCAGCGTGACGTCACGAATTAACTCAGTGTTAATCGGCTGAACCTTTTTGACAGTTCAGTGGTATTGTTTACAAGCACTTAGTCGTTTTTTTTCGAAAAATATATAGTTTAAAATTTCCGAATTTTAACTTGGAAATTGTCGAGGAAATGCGTGGCGAAAGGATGTTGCTCGTGGACATTGCAACAGTGTGGTTTACGTCTCACTGAAATCTGAAAAATTATCCAGAAAATCTACCCAAGAAAAAATCGACTAAGTCCACGTAAACAGTACCACTGAACTGTCATCAGATTGAGGTTAACCCCGACGGTGCAATTGACGAGTGCACGGATGGATTTGAGTTCACTCACTCGACAAAAAGTGACACAACAGCGGGGCCCTGTTTACTAAAAATGAACACAAATGTGTTCATTTTTAGTAAACAGGGCCCCGCTGTTGTGTCACTTTTTGTCGAGTGAGTGAACTCAAATCCATCCGTGCACTCGTCAATATGTGTTCATTTTTAGTAAACAGGGCCCCGCTGTTGTGTCACTTTTGTCGAGTGAGTGAACTCAAATCCATCCGTGCACTCGTCTATGTGACGAGACCCATACAAAGGTAATCATATAATAATGATCTTTCGACCAGTACACTCATCTGCTCCCTTAGAGCAACCGTAACGGTCGTTGTCATTTGCGCGACTATTTTAACAGCGCACCCCTAATAAAAAATAACCATAAACGAACGATAACCCAAATCATTGAACTATTCCACAAATGGTTTGGATGATACCCAGAACACGTCGTTAAGCAAATTAACCATACAATTTTTATTAGGGACAGCACTCTCATTTTAGTTTAGTCACTCTTCTCCACACCGGTCGCTGCTATCGCGGTTATCAATTTACTCACCATAGTCCGTACCGGTAGTGAGAATTTTGACATTTCTACGAATAGCAACCTTTCTCCCGCGCTGCTATCGCGCTGCTAAGAGCAACCGTACCAGTGGGTAAATAAGGAACATTTACCAACCTATACCATAACGCTACATGCGTACCGGGGGTTGCTATCCAGGTGCGGGAAATAGCAATCCACACCTCGGGAAGTACCCTAATAAAAAATAACCATAAACGAACGATAACCCAAATCATTGAACTATTCCACAAATGGTTTGGATGATACCCAGAACACGTCGTTAAGCAAATTAACCATACAATTTTTATTAGGGTAGTGAGTACACAAATTTAGCAACGCAGCAGAAGGTTGCTATTTAGAATAAACGTCAAATGTTTGTTTTGCTTTCTATTCTTCTCGAGTTCGTTGGAATTTTTACTGCTGATTCTACAGTGTAGTGTTAATATTACAATAAGCAGGTAAAATGTGTGCTTTGAAACGAGGAGCAAACTGGACCACACAAGAGGACGAAGCGCTGTGTATTGCGTGGCTGAACACATCGCAAGATGCAAGTGTCGGCATCAATCAGCGAGCGACAACTTTGTATGATCGCGTGTATCAACATTTCCTCGCAATATGCACTGAGAAGCAAATTCCCGGTAATCCAGATCTACGTGCCCCCAAAGGCATAGAAGTCAGATGGCATTACATCAGCAAGATGGTCAGCAAATTCGCTGGCTGTCTTGCACAAATTGAGAATCGTTGTCAAAGTGGTGCTTCTCCGGAAGATATGCTGAAACTGGCGATTGCATTATTCTCAAACAAGGAGAAAACCGCTTTTGCACTAATGCATTGCTACATGATTCTGCAAAGTGCACCGAAATGGCAACAATACCATTCTGTAAAGGTTTGTATTTCTAAAGTTTAACCATTTTAAATGCTATAGCTTTTTCGATTTTTCTAGACGTCTCCTAATCCCAAAAGAGCCGCAACAGAATCCGTCGATTTGGCCCAACACGAAACAAGTGTTACAGATGCTGTGCCTTCATGTTCCAGTCGCCCGATCCGGCAGAAGGCCAGTAAAGTTCAAAAGTTGTGTAAAGAAAATCGCGCAGGAGTTGAAATGGCCAAGGCTAGCTATCTGTTGGCTTCTGCTGCGAAAGAAAGACTTGCCTACAGCAAACAAAAGACACTAGCCTTAAGTAGAATTGCTAACCATTCTATTATGTCAATGAAGTTGGATTGTTTGAACGAGACTGCAAAAGAGTATTACTTGCTGGAGCAGCGAAGAATTCTGAGTGAAACCAGGGAATCAGCCTGTAACGAACTGGAAGCAAGACCGGAAACTCTAGATAATGACGAGAAGGTGGATGTGGCCGAAGATGTTGCTGGTACGGTAGGAGATACTGATACTGACGACTGTATAGAGTATGATCCGGATATGACAGCAGAATACACGACAGAATTCTTGGAAGGGATCGATTCCAACGATGATTCTTAGTTGAACGGTATTTGTCTTCCTTTTTTATTAATTATTTACATGATAAGATTGACTTATGTTATCTAGTTCATATGTTTTATTTGTAATGTTCCATTAATTGAAATCGATCGCAAAATAATAAATAATAACAAAAATAATAAAACTATACATACTTGCGCAAAGCTCCTTTGAATTTATTGACAAAAGTACATTGTATCAGATACGCGCATGCGTGTGTGTGTGTGTGTGTGTGTGTGTGTGTGTGTGTGTGTGTGTGTGTGTGTGTGTGTGTGTGTGTGTGTGTGTGTGTGTGTGTGTGTGTGTGTGTGTGTGTGTGTGTGTGTGTGTGTGTGTGTGTGTGTGTTTGTCATCACTCCTCTTCTTCTCCCTTGACGTTCCACAGATGCTCAATCAAATCCTCCTGCAATTGCCGATGAAGTGCTGCATTGTGGACTTGGTTATATCGTTCGAGAAAAGCTTGAAAATTAACTTCGGAACGGTCGGAATTAATGTTTAATGTGACATCGCCGAAGTCTCCCTCAATCGCAGCATCTCTTTCATCTTCGATAATCATGTTATGTAAAATAATGCAAGCGCGCATGATGGATGCAAGATCTTCTTTATGCCACAATCTTGCAGGATTTTTTAAAATCGCAAATCGTGCCATGAGGACTCCAAAGGCCCGTTCTACGTCCTTTCTTGCAGCCTCTTGCATTTTTGCAACATGCTGTGAAGAATAGAAAAGTAGCTAAAAAAAACGTCGATAAAATTAACAAAGAGCAAGGAGTAATATACTGCCCATCATCGCATATGAGTCCCACCCTTGCTTGGTTTCCTATCTATATGGGACATTTATGCTTTATGCGATTATGGGCAGTATATGTTTCGATTGTATTTAAATGAGCAAATGTGATTACCTTACGTTTTTGTCCGGATGGTGCCGGAATGGTCTGAACCAATGTGGAAGGAGGTGGATAAAAACCGTCTGCGAGGTAGTATCCTGTAGTGTATTCTCTGCCATTGATATCATATTGTACAGGAGGACTTCTGCCATTGTACAGATCCGAAAATAATGGGGATCGCTCCAACACGTTTAGGTCGTTTGTAGACCCTGGCATGCCAAAAAATGCATGCCAGATCCACAAGTCATAGGAAGCAACAGCCTCCAGAACAATTGTCGGTTTCTTATCTTTGCCTTTAAATTGCCCAGCCCAAGCAGTGGGACAATTCTTCCATTGCCAATGACAACAGTCGAGGGAGCCCAACAATTCTGGGAATCCACGCTTTTGTCGGTGACCGCAAATATTGCGCTGAATATAGCTGAACAACGGTACGACAGTATTCCAGCATGCAGTTTCGAGCAGTAGATTCAGACATGCGAGCATATTCATCGATCGCGTCAGCTGGGGATCCGTAAGCTAATTGCCGAATCGCCGCAGTGCATTTTTGCAAAGTTGTCAAGCCTAGCTTTCCTGTCGCATCCGGTCGCTGTACAAAATAAATGTTTGCAGCTTCAACATCTGCTACAATGCGCATGATAATTGCCTTCTCATGCGAAAACGTCTGCGGAACTGGTCGTGACTGTAGGTGCAATTAACAGAAAAATAATCTGACACCAAACGTTCAGCTCCTTCGTGTGCCAGGCGTTCGATGTTTGGTTTTTTCCCTATACGAATTCTATTTTGTCTACCCGTATCTTCAATTTCCGCAATGGCATGTGCCTGAACCAAAACATGGCTCATTAAATCCAGATCCTCGTCGCTAGAATCAGAGAACAATTCCAGAAAATGATCCATATTTGATTTGGTGTGATGTTTGCGAGCACCGCGTAAAACTGTTGATTTAAAGTATTTTGTTCCGGCCGGTGTGGATAACGGTAACTTAAATGATTACTCTGATAGCAACGACCGGTGTGGAGAGGAGTGATTAAGCTAAAATGGAAACGCTGTGCGTAAGTAAAATAGTAACGCAAATGGCAACGACTGGTACGGTTGCTCTAAATTTGGTAACGCGCTTCTCACCGAGAAGCCGACTGCTATTTTAGTTACTCGTATGGCAACCCCCGATACGGTAGCTGCGCTATGATGAGGGCTGCTAAAATGAGTTTAGCAGCGTACCGTTACGGTTGCTCTTACCTTTGAAAGGAAATTAGGTTTTGCACCGTCGGGGTTAACCTCAATCTGATGACAGTTTAGTGGTACTGTTTACGTGGACTTAGCCGATTTTTTCTTGGGTGGATTTTCTCGATAATTTTTCAGACTGCAGTGAGATGTAAACCACATTTCTGCAATGTTCACGAGCAACATCCTTGCAATGCGCTGTTCCTCGACAATATTCAAGTTAAAATTCGGAAATTTTAGAATTTTTTTTTCGAAAAAACGACTAAGTGCTTGTAAACAGTACCACTGAACTGTCAAAAAGGTTCAGCCGATTAACACTGAGTTCATTCGTGACGTCACGCTGCAGAACCTAAATTAGGTTAGAAATGATGTTGCTCATTGACATTGCAGAAGTGTGGTTTACATCTCACTGCAGTCCGAAAAATTATCGAGAAAATCCACTCAAGAAAAAATCGACTAAGTCCACGTAAACAGTACCACTGAACTGTCATCAGATTGAGGTTAACCCCGACGGTGCAAAACCTAATTAGGTTTTGCACCGTCGGGGTTAACCTCAATCTGATGACAGTTCAGTGGTACTGTTTACGTGGACTTAGTCGATTTTTTCTTGGGTGGATTTTCTCGATAATTTTTCAGACTGCAGTGAGATGTACACAGCATTTCTGCAATGTTCACGAGCAACATCCTTGCAACACGCTGTTCCTCGACAATTTTCAAGTTAAAATTCAGAAACTTTAGAATTTTTTTTTCGAAAAAACGACTAAGTGCTTGTAAACAGTACCACTGAACTGTCAAAAAGGTTCAGCCGTTTAACACTGAGTTCATTTGTGACGTCACAAATGAACTCAGTGTTAATCGGCTGAACCTTTTTGACAGTTCAGTGGTACTGTTTACAAGCACTTAGTATTTTTTTTCGAAAAACAATATTCTAAAATTTCCGAATTTTAACTTGAAAATTGTCGAGGAACAGCGCGTTGAAAGGATGTTGGTCGTGGACATTACAGAAGTGTGGTTTACATCTCACTTCAGTCTGAAAAATTATCGAGAAAATCCACCCAAGAAAAAATCGACTAAGTCCACGTAAACAGTACCACTAAACTGTCATCAGATTGAGGTTAACCCCGACGGTGCAAAACCTAATTAGGTACTGCAGCGTGACGTCATAAATGAACTCAGTGTTAGCCGGCTGAACCTTTTTGACAGTTCAGTGGTACTGTTTACAAGCACTTAGTCGTTTTTTCGAAAAAAATATTCAAAAATTTCCGAATTTCAACTTGAAAATTGTCGAGGAACAGCGCGTAGAAAGGATGTTGCTCATGGACATTGCAGAAGTGTGGTTTACATCTCACTGCAGTCCGAAAAATTATTGAGAAAATCCACCCAAGAAAAAATCGACTAAGTCCACGTAAACAGTACCACTGAACTGTCATCAGATTGAGGTTAACCCCGACGGTGCAAAACCTAATAGCCTCAATCCTCGGATCGATATTAGAATATTGCAGCATAGTTTGGTCTCCTTTTTCAATAAAACACGAAGAAAGAATAGAGTCCGTTCAAAAGCAGTTTCTATTGTATGCACTCCGCAAGTTAGGTTGGACTGTATTTCCTCTGCCATCTTACACAGCTCGGTGTATGCTCATAAATATCCAAACATTAAAAGAGCGTCGTGAATTTGCTATGATTTCTTTCGTAAACGATATCGTTTCACATCGAATTGATTCAATAGAACATCTATATTGTCATCCATAAATTTATATACACTATCTAGGCATTTACGAAATAGAAATATATCTGCTACAAATCGTCACCGTACGAATTATGCCAAATTTGGACCCTTGAATTAAATGATGGATACATATAATAAGCACTGCGATAACATTGACTTTACAATGACAAAAACCAAATTAAAGCAATATTTTAATTACTCGCATAACGTCAGCTAGAAGTAATGTTTTAACTTGTTCTCAAGACATATTATAAAAAAAATATAAACAAAGACAAAATTGTAAACATAGTTCTTAAGACAACAATTGTAAAACGGTCTACACTGATTGACGACAAATAAATAAATAAATAAATAAATATATATTGAATGATTCCTAAAACATAAATCTTGCATTATCAAACAGCATTTAAAGATATTATGTTAAAAAAATTAAGCGAAAAAAATGTCCCGATTTTGTCAGTGTTCCGTTTTTGTCAGCCCTAAATTCATCAGGGGGCTGACAAAAACGGGGCATTACTGTAAATACAAACATTAGCAAAGTCCTGAAAATTTCAAAGAACTATGGTAAAATGCCTGTGAGATCGGAGTCACATTTCCAATTGCTGACTGCGATGAACGCGTTCGGTCTCACTAACACAGCCGTGCGTTACTGGGCTCGGTTTGCTACGACGTTCAAAACTCTCTTTCTCTCTGCTATGGTCAGCGTTGCCAGCTCATTTTCATAAAAATCTGGACCAGTTAAAATATAAAATCTGGAAAAATCTGGAAGGCTAAAAAAAATCCTGTTTTTAATATAATGCTATTGAAATCAAAGTGATGTGCCAATCTCTTGTAAAATTCGGTCAGTATGATCATCTGGAATTTATTCAAAGTACCCGAATGTTTATGAATTACATGTTTAAATAAATTAGATAAAACAAATAACTTATTAGCATTGCTTAAATCTTCCAAAAGTTAAGAAAAGTATTGACACAGTGTGTCCATAATCACAAACGAAGTGACAGACGGAGCGGCTCGAAAACTTTGGTGACTAACCTGCTATTGCAATTTTTCAGTGTACCACATGGCAACACCACTACTACTGGAATGTACCACATGGCAACACTACTACTAGATTGAACTAGCATTTTCACCAAATGTACTAGAATGTTTTGGTTCTATCTCTTTCACTCTAC